TCTACTACTCTGTGTCCCCACTTGCAAGACCTCTGCTATCACACCATGCCAATGCTCCTCTGCATTACACTGTCCTTTGAGTGTCACAAATACATCAATATACACAGAATAACAACTTACTACTACTACCTGTAGAAACAAATATGTTTATGCCACACAAAAACAAGCCAAAGAGAAACTAACTAAGCAGTAGCCACCTGGTCATTAGAAAAAACACTCGTCTGGGGTTGGTAGCTAAGCTCCATATAGGCAAAGACAATTTTAGACAAAACTGGGCAAGTCCCGAGACTTGCAGAGTTAGTGTGAAACCTGGGGCCTAGGAATCACAACACTGAATTCACAGGGCAACAGATCTGCCCTAAACTCTAGAAGTCCCATAGTTGCATGCTTAAAGTTCAAACAACACAGACACAGAGGTGAAAGCCAAAGCATGTAAGCTATCAGGAATTCATTTCCATGACTACCTTGATGGACACTGTCACCCATTTATATTTTTTTTCCCCAATATACTAATTTTTCCCAGCTGGAGCCAGCTGGTTGTCCAGTCAGTTTAATTTCAAAGCAAAACCACACAAGATCAACTTTCTGTTGCTGGTCACACATAGCCACTCCACAGACTTTTAATCCAAACTGGATACATGTACACAAAGAAAGCAGGAAAATGAAAACCAGATTTACAATCAGGATGAATTTTATATTCTATATTTTGTACTACACAGAGCTACAACACCAAATAATCTGTTACAGATATCTCTTTCAGCATTGAATCTTTCTGAGACAAGGATTTCTAACAAATGATTGCTATTTTCAAAATCAAGGAGGCAACTACACTGTCTGGAGAGAAGTGATCTTCTTGCCAGAAATCAATGCCTAGGACAATCAAATATATAATTAAATATACTTTTGGGCATCGCAACCACTAGAAAGTGACTGGTTAAGATATTCAGTCTGCCAAACAAAGGAAAAGGCAAAATACCTGAAATAGTAATTTCTGTTCCTCTGTGCAAGAAACTTGAAATTAAATTATCTTCATTACTGAGAATAGCAGTTGCTCAGTTCCATTCAGCCTATTAATTAATATTACACTTCTGGACAAATTGTAAAGTGGCACAGAACTGATGCAAACCAGGCATGGGCAACCAGTTGTGTTTCTGTTGAATTCATCATGATAAGGATTTTATGAGGTCTTTACACACATTATGCCTGGTATGGGAATACAGTGTAGAGCCTATTCAGCATAAACCCATAACACTGAGGACTGCTTGACTGAGCATATAGCCTTGCAGAGCAATACTATCATAAAGTGACCTATGCTGTGTCAGCATGTTACAACACTTTTACTATCTTTCAGATAACCACTAGAAGTCATACACTTTCAAATACACTACTAAAAGTCATAAAGTGACCAAGCTACAGCTTCACTTCCTATAAATATTAAAAATTAGCCTCAAGAAGATAATTCTGATAACTCCTAATTCAGTAAGTAAATAAACATTAACATGAGGCTTAATGAAACTCTTGGACATTCCTGTAAGATAAGGTTTCATAAAGGCTGTGGCTCAGTCAGGAAACAACAAGAAAAAACCTGGGTCCACCAAGCTACCATGAGGAGCAGAAATCACCGTGATATACGACACAGTAAATAGTGAAAAACTTTGTACGTTCACATACAGCACAAACTTTAAGGTATGTTACAACCATCATCTACCCATGTTCTCAACATTAAGTATGCTAGTTCAGTCAACTACATCATAACTGCACTGATAGTAGGGAAGATTAGAATAGAATATGAAGCTTTTTGAGATTTAACTAGATTGGAATTGGTGAAGAACATCACCACAGGGGGAGATAAAGGTGGCAGACACATGGCCTAAAGCTTACCTCAAGCTCACATGGGACCAACAAGTTTACACAGCTAAAGTGAAGATTCAAGTCTAGGCACAGGCCTACACACAGCATGCAGTGCAAATACCCCTTTAGAGGAAGGGGAACCTTTGAGCTGGAAAACAGTAGTGGAGTAAAAGATAAAGCACAGCCTATATTCTCTCTTCCGCACTAACTGGAGAGCCAAGGTCCTGATCCTTCACCTCATGACAATTGTGTAAAATTACGCCAGGTGGCAAAAACCAAAGATCACAGAGCAAGTGACAGTGAAATTTTCATCAGACCATGGATGCCCTTCAGACACGTGATGAAGGGAGCTACAGGGCTCAGAGGGAGATGGCTACTTGAACAACTGATCCAGGCAATAGCAGATTGCTATCAACACCACAGAGGATCCTCTCTGATTACACATTTATGTTGTTCCACCACACTGCATCTGGCTCTTGAGCCAAAGAACACAGATTTTTGATTAAGAAAACCCAACCAAACAAACAAACAACTCAGAAGGTTGGAAATCTACATCTTCCAAGAGTCAGAAAAGAATCGTCAACATTTTATTTGATAGGCACCGACTGGTAATAACTAAAAAGAATTAATGTTTCTCTTCTAGCATTTGTAAAACTATGACATTTTATCAGCCATGGGAATCATAGGAAAAGTTTTTAGTCATACCCCAGAAAGAACATCATCTGATACCCAAAATATTTCCTAATTTTCATAGACAATTTCTCATCTCATAAGATGCACTTCTCCTGAAGGTTACCTCATGTGCCCCTGAAGCTAGAACAGCCTGGCTTGCAGAATAAGAAGTAGCGCAATGCCAGTTGCATAGTACTAGAACCTGGTGAACTTGGTAACATTGACAGTACCAGCACGCAGGGCAAATTAACTTGGGAAGTGCTGACAGATAAACTATACAGAATTAAAAGCTTAAGTGAACAGAGCTGTTTCCTCACTGGGGAAGAAGGAAAGAATGAGGGAAAATAAATAAATAAAGAGATAGAGGAAAACTGTCTAGAGTAACAAGTTTATTTGGGACACAAACAGCTTGCACTGCTTCACTGCCCAGCAAGTTACACCACCCGTACAAACGGAAGAAGTTCCTAGACTTCCTATAATGAAAACAAGCAACAACTTAAAATCTGTGAAGAAAGAACAGTTATCATCTGACAACTGCTGACGGAAACAAGTGACCAAATTGGTTCTCTAACTCCAGCTACCAAGAGAAAATTAATGTTATGACCCAAACTATTTTAAAAGCATTTCTCTTCAGCTGGTAAGGAATACACAACTGCTAATTATTAAAGAATTTTCTGCATGCTCTGAACTTTGCCGTTTGCTCTCTATTTCACAATTTCATTTAACACTACTTTTTGAGAGCCTGAGCCAATGAATGTTTATAGATGAATCACAAATGTGTTAATCGTTAATCTCTGTCCCAATGTCATTCATTTACACTCAATTTTGAAGCATGATTTTGTAATCCAAAACTGCCATCCCAGCGCATTAAGAAGAAAGGAATCACCATAGAAATCCCCATCCTCTGCACTTGACATCAAGACATGTTGGGAAGGCAGACCATTTTTTTTTAAACAAGGAAAAAGAGAGTTTTAACAAAACAGATGTAGCTTTTAAAGATACCTACAAAGAAACAAATATTGAAGCTATATACTGAAATTAGTTACCAGGAAGGTAACTAAGGTCAGAATTCACTATGTCATATACCTACATTTCCTTGTAACTATCAGATTCTTAAATCACTACAGAACAAGGATTTAAAGAAAACATCGCAGGTATATACAAACAATACCTGGAATGAAAGAAACTGCCATTATAAGGGACTGGGGTTAAATCCAGCATGAATGTTCTGGTATCTGTAATTGTGACAGGCTACTTAAGGAACCCAGCAGTAATGCTAGAACCCCTGGATTGCTTTTACGTGTCGCAGTCCACCCTTCAGGGGACCAAGGTTTTCTGAGGTTGCTGCCAGTGAACTTTGCAGAGACAAATGCAAATACATCAGGGCATTCATATGTCAGCCCGGTGACTAGTTCAGTATTCCAAATTCAATCTTACTCCTCAGTGTCTCAGCCTTATTTTCAATGTATCTTTCACAAAACATCAAATCATACTTCATTTACTGCGGAAAAAGAGCGAGTGGTCTGAATTTAGGTTCAGAACACTGTGGTTCTTTATTAGAAGTGGTGTTAACAGCAGCAGCTCCCTAGCAGCTCCATCAGAAAATGGAGCAACGGACTGTAGCACAAACTTTGCCTCATTTCCCAACAGGAAACGACACTAACAGTTCAAATTATCCACTAGAAGCTGCCAGCGAAAGGAACTGCTCTGCAACTTCTAGGGAATGCCGAAGGAAGCTGCGAAATGTGAACGAACACATGAAGATAAAACAAAAACACTTTCAGACCTCTGACGGGAAACTCCCAGTGCTTCAAGGGAGAATGCCGATAAACAAACCACAGCCAAACGAATGTCCGGGAACAAATCTGCATACACTAGATGTGGTGTTAAGGGCTGGCATTTTTGTCATTTATCGGCAGCAGCGTTACTACAAAACGTGACGAGTAACACGCCCGGTTTCGTAACAGTTTTGCAAGAGGGTGCGTTAAACACACTGTGAAAGGATTGCGCCCGATGGGAGTTTTCTCCGTCCCCACCGCGGCACTTGGGACAGCTCAAGAAGTTGAATACCCTCTGGAGGAGGCTCGGCGCACGGAAAGGCGGCTCCCGCGCCCTCTGCCAGCTTCCCCCCATGCCGGCAGCAGTGACCAGCCCGCAGCCGCTCCTCCCCCGGCGGCACCCCGGCCGGTGCGCGGTAGCGGGCGGGCAGCGGAGCCCAAACTGCTCGCAGGCTCTTCCTGAGGCGGGGTATTCACAACTTCCCCGCACTGGGCAGCGCTCTCCGAGGCTGGGTGCAGCGCCCCGGACAGCGCCAGGTTATGGAGGGAAACCCCGAGCCCGGACGCTGCCCAACGCCACTGACAGCCCCCGAGCGGGGGTCCCCAGCCCCGGCACACGGCGAGCCCGGCCTCGCCTGTCTGCTGTCCCTCCGACGCCCCGGGGCGAGCGGGCAGCGCTCCCCTGAGCCGCCGCCGTACCTGCAGGACACGGAGAGCTCCACCTTGGTGGCCGGGATGCTGGAGCTGAGCACGTTAAAATCCCCCACGGACGCCATGTTCGGAAACCCACCACTTCTACTCGTCGCCGGCTGCCCCGCCGGCTTCTCCAGCACGAACATGGGGCAAGGCTGGAGGCAGGCGGGGACGGGAGGGGAGGAGGAGGAGGCCGGCCGGCGGAGAGGGAGGGCAGGAGGCGGTGCCAAGTGGCCCCGCACCGCGCGGAGCAGGACCGCACAGCCCGAGAGCTGCCACCGCCGCCTGAGGCGGGAGCGGGGCGGTGACGTCACCGCGAGCGGGAGCCGAGAGTGACTGCCCCAGCGCCTCGCCCGACGGCCGGTGATCGGGGCGGGCTCGCGGGCCGGGGAGCCCAGCGGTACCGCGGCGGGAGCCACCCCACATCGTGTAGGGCTGGGAAAGGCGGCGGTAGGAGCCAGCCCGCGGGGCGGACCCACCCCCTTCGCTCCCGCGCCTCCACGGAGGTTTCCCCCTCGGCCCCTGCAGAGAAACTCCTGTCCCACCCCGTAGGCTGTCCCGGGAATCCCCTCCTGTCCCGGCTGAGTGAGCCGAGTGACAGATTGCCCCGAACTCCGCCCCGGAGCCGGCCGGTATAGTGCCAACTTCCCCGCCCCGCGCTGTCTGCTGCCAGGCGGACCCGCTCTCTCGGGCCAGGAAGTGCCAGGGGCGCGGCGAGGCAGGGCCGGCGGGCGGGCCCCTCGCCGCCAGGGGGCGCAGCGGGAGCAGTGCGCCGATGAGGGGCGCTCTGCGCAGCGGGGTTGTGAAACACCGAGACGGTTATCAGTGCTGATTGCCCCTGTGGAGAGAACGGTAATTGTTATTGCCAGAGGGTTGAGAGAAAAGCTGTGGGGCTACCGCAGTTATTACATGCGTCGACACGTTGAAAACTGGGAATGTCACTTGATCCCACTTGCGCTCCCCCTTTTTTTAAAGACCTGATCCAATCTACACTGACTCTGTTCAGGATAGTTCACGATAATCGTAACAGTCCCATCATCTCATCTCTCGTGTTTAATTTGTATCCATCATCATGGCATATAAGTAGCCCCGATATTCATGTCTCATCATAGCAATTTGATGGGAGATGGAAGTACTAACGTTGCCATGTCACAGGTGAGAAGGTGAGAGGCAAGCAAATGAAATGCTGTGTCTGTACTCCCACAAGATGCAGGACAGGTCAAAGATCATAGGATATCAGCCCAAATCCTATACAGAAGTCCTCTGCTCCTCTGGCTGCTATGGTTTTATGTGTAAAACTAAAAACATGTATTGTGTTTGTTTCCTAAAGGCAAATGTGGCTCTAAAGCCACAAACATCCATAAAATCACAGAATGGTTTGGATTGGAAGGGACCTTGAAGATCATCCAGTTCCAACCCAGCATACAGTTGGCTTTCTGGGCTGCAGACACACACTGCTGGATCATATTCAACTTTCTGTCAACCAACACCCTCAAGCTCTTCTCCACAGGGCTGCTTTCAGCCCATTCTCTGACCATCCTGTATTTGTGCTTGGGATTGCCCTGACCCAGGTGCAGTACCTTTTGTATCATTGTATATGATTTATACCATATCTTATCAGAATACATCAATTTTGGATTTAATTTCTAGATTCTCATTGGTGTAATTCCAATTTGACGCATGATGTCCATCAAAATAATGATGGACAGAGAGATTGAATGTTGATACCTGGATAGATCCCAGTCAACAGATTAAGCAGTGGAAATACAGAAGGCAGCAGAACGGTCTTATGTACAGGATGTATACTCCCTGTGCACAGCACGTGTCTGAAATGTAACTTCAGTGGCAGAAACTCAGGGAAGATATAATAGATTTTTATTCAGAACCTTCTGACTTCACACCCTACTTCTAATCAGGAAGTTATCACCTGAACTCTCCTTTCTTTCTTTTCCTTCTCTTGCACAGTTGTTGCATACAAAGCAATTTCTCATAAGGTATCACCAAAGCATTTCTTCTTAAGCCAGCCTGTTTTATATTTGCGGTACAGCCAAGAAGCCACGTACCTTCACAAGTATTTTAGGTGTGTCTGCAGGCAGCCAACCTACCACTGAAAATGCTAAAAATAACAAAGTCAAATTTAGTTCACTATTATCTTTGTCAAAACAGTAGTGTGAGAGGATGGGTGAAGGACCACTGGTGTCTTGGGAGGCATATGCTGAGTACAGATAGGGTTCCAGATGACTAAAATTGGTTTTATTATAACAATTATAACTCTTTTTTTAGCATTATAATATTTTCATCTACTCCCTGGGCAACCCATTCCAAGTGCCTCACCACCCTTACGGTAAAGAGCTTCTCCTTATATCCAGTCTAAACTTCCCCTGTTTAAGTTTGAACCTGTTACCCCTTGTCCTATCACTACAGTCCCTGATGAAGAGTCCCTGGTATGGGTAACTTAAAAGTATAGCATTGTAAGTGTGATATGATCATATATTATTTCCTACTGATGCACTCACTGCTTTGGGCCACATAGAGGGTTGATTGGATCATTTTTATATTAGCTGATCTTAATGCTTTATTCTGCTTAGAAAAATTAAATAGTTGGTTATTGGTGATTTCATAAATAGAGCATCCTATGAAAAAAACTAGTTAAGAAAATTCAAGGCTTCAGTGTTGCTGGGGAGATGCCCACCTTCTCTCATGATTATAAAGGCACAGCTATTTTGTCTTCTAATGCTCCAGCTTAGAATAAATACACAGCTCTCAAGCACTGAGAGTGATTTATATGGGAAAGAGAAAAAAAACTAAACCGAGGGCTAGTTGAAAGATATGCAACAATGGGGCTATGTATACATTATTATAACTCTAGAGAGGTACCTTATATTTACTCATTCTTAAATGGCACTGAGGCATGGGGACTGGAACAACACCTAAGTATTCGGACAGTATCTGGAACGTACATATGAAATATCTATCAGGCTGCAGTGTAAAAGAACCATCAGGGCTGTGTGTTGTATATGCTATACTGACATTTGAATGCAGTTGCTGAGTCTGTGACAATTTTGCAGCAGAAAGCAGGACATATTTTCCTCTGTTTCTTTTGTGATTGTTACTTTATTATTGTCAGCAGTTGCTAATTATCAGATATCTACATAACTTGTTTCAATATGTGCAGCCTAATTTAAGGAATGAGGGATATACTTGCAGTAATTACAGAATAAACTATGAACAAACTACAGATTCCAGAATAGCTGTAACGTGTAACACTGAGTGATTGCTTTAAACCATCACTGTTTCCAGGTTTCAGCAGTATAATTGAACCCGAATGCCACAGGATGCGAACATTGATTACTCCCTTCCACCCCCTCAGCTTTCTGCCTTGTAGATCATTATTAGACATCTCAAGAAAAGTTTTATGAGTCAATCTTTGCACTTCTAAAAAACCCCAACCACACACACAAAACTAACACAGACTAATCTGTAGGAAGAAACTGGAAATGGCAGTTGTTCTTCTATAGATGTGAAAGAATTTGTGGATGAGTATAGGCAAGAGCTTTGAAGTGAGCTTCAGTGTTACTGGAACAGAACAACTGCGACTATAAGCCAATGCCATTTTCATGACAACCAAAATACTACTTACTAAGTCTGAATCTGTGATGAATATACAATATTCCTTGGTTCCTCCTCAAATACTTTTTTGGTAATTCCCTTAATTAACATCCAACAAACACCAGCTTTTTATCCTGGCTGCTGTCAAACTTTTTCTTTCTAGACCCTGAAGAATGGAATGAACTTAGCTGTTACTTGGTCCTTGCTGGTAGCTGAACAGAGCACTGAAACAATGCCAATATCCTAATACACACTGCAGTTTGAGAGTTGTGTCTTTCCTGCTTTTGATTACTGTACTTGGCTTCGTTTTTCTTCACTACTGCTAATTGTTTTAATCCATTTACCAAAGACGTAGCTTTTGCTAGTGCATTTGCAACCATCAGCACCACCATCATTACTGGAACCATTATCAAGCACAGTGAGTGAATCCAGACCATATGCTTTAAAAGCCATCAGTAATACAACATGCTGAAGGATATGTTCAGTGCCTTTATTCCCCTAGAATGTATTATCTCCTATAACTCCATGGTTTCATAATCCACTTTGAAAACACAAATGGGTTGAGCTCTATTTTTGTGATAGTAAAGTCTAAAGGAGATGTCTGACTCAGAGATTAGACAGAAAGAAGAAATCTCCACTCCTTCAAGATTTTCACTTTAAATACTAGTTTTTCAAGGGCTTACGTCTGCAGTCTCGCAAGTGTCAAGGAGAATACGTTCTTCAATAAGAAGTATCTAGGCCTGTGTTTCAAAGCCTTTGAAATCTATCCTTACTGTGTGCAGGAGAAAAGATCACCTTGTCACCATGGCATGAGCATGAGGAAGTTAGTGAGTCATTAGTGCAGAGACAGCTAACAATTTCACCATTTCTCTATCACAATGAGTTAGTGATGCACTTGCCTGTGTACCTCTTCACTGATTCCGTGTAGAATAAAGTCACAAAGTATAAATACCATTTCCCCTCTCCAAAGACACGAAGAATAGTTATTCAACAAATACTCTTATCTCACTATGTTACACTTACTGGCTATGTTATCTGTCAACACACCTTTAGCCCTAGGTTAAAGTTTCCTGCATTATTTCAGGATTTCTTCTATTTTGATCCAGGTCAGAAGAGACAGATCCGCAGCAGCACAATCATAAGGCTACTTCCTTCCACATGCTTAGGAAAGCATTCTTTCTTAGCATCAGAGCAGCCATTCCAGGCTAAATAGCACAAGTTCCAGACACAGTTTGTTCAAGAAGTCTTCAAAATGGCAAAGACCCCTGAAGTGCTCTCAGGGTCATCCAGGATGTCATCCAATCCATTTCATGTCTTAACACTTAGTACTGCACAGTAAGGTCTCTACATCTATGAGTGGAGGAATTTTAGATCTACTGAACACTTTTTCTGGCTCTTATCTCTAGAGTAAAGCATGTAACATGGATCTCAAGTTCTAAAAATGTGACTTGGGAGTATTTTGAGTGCAAGGTTTTAGCAGTTAACTAATTCAGATTGCAGTTCAGGTTTCATTTGAAAGGACAAGGAGTCAAAAGCGGTGAGAACTTTATACATCTTCAGCTGAGCCATGGGCCAGAC